AAACTTTTATAACGAAAGCAGACAAGAGTATTTAATTTCATGCAAAAAAAAGCTAACTTATTAAAAATATTCGATTTTCTAAATATTTTTCATTGAATATTCTTGTGCAACACAGCATTTCTAATAAAAACGAGTCAGCTATTGTTAGAAAATGAATATTCTAGTTATTTTCAAATTGTAAAAATCGAAATTTTGTGGTATACCCTAGGGGTGGACCATTTTTTTTAACGGAACTTAATTAATGGCATTAATTAATGACTTCCATTAGCCATTAATCTTAATGGTTAATGTTTTCTAAGAAAAACTTAATTCATTAATATTAATGATTAATGAAAAACATTAACATTAATTTTAAAATTAATGTTTTCATTAATCATTAATATTAATGTCAATGTTCTTAAATGATATTAACGGTTAACGGAAACATTCACCATTAGTATGAATAGTAATGTTTTCGTTAATATTATGGATTATACTTTCATTAATCATTAATATTAATGTTAATGTTTTCATTAAAATCAATGACTTAATATTAATGGTTAATGTTTTCATGAAAGCATTATAACTTTCCATATTAAGTAATTAACACTTTCGGAGAAAACATTAGCTATTAAGATCAGTTAATTGATTAATAATTGTAGATAATGTTTCCTTAGAAAAGCCTAATTCAGTAATATGGAAAAATTAATGTTTTCATGAAAACATTAACATTAATATTAATGATTAATGAAAATATAATCCCTAATATTAACGAAAACATTACTATTCATACTAATGGTGAATGTTTCCGTTAACCGTTAATATCATTCAAGAACATTGACATTAATATTAATGATTAATGAAAACATTAATTTTAAAATTAATGTTAATGTTTTTCATTAATCATTAATATTAATGAATTAAGTTTTTCTCAGAAAACATTAAGCATTAATATTAATGGTTAATGAGAAACATTAACATTAATATAAAATTAATGTTAATGGCCCACCCCTAGTATACCCTTCATAAAGTGTCTCAAAACGTAAACATTTAAAAAATTTGAAGTAGTAAAATTATCTATCCCCAAGAAATATTGAATTCTGTATCTATTTAACTGAGTCTATACGCTAGTAAAAACATTGTGTCAATTACTATTTCGATTATGAACAATATTATTTGTGAGGATGAATTTTCTTACTCTTAAAATATCATTATTTCCTCAGTTATTTTTCAAAACAACTAAAACATTTTCTTGATCATTCGACTACATAGATATTTCTATATCTAATAATATCAAAAACAATCCCTCTATTCTAATATATATTTCTCAGGGAAAAAAAGAGAAAGTCTTGACATACATTGCAAATCTGCTTGAATAAACGGCATTAAACGTGATATTTCAAAGGGTTATGAGCAAATTAATAGGAATTCGTAGTTAATATCAAAGGATTTTCATACTTGCACGATAATGATAATTTTCCATAGTGGATACCACCATCGTTTTGTAATCGAATATAGTGCACTAAAAACCTATATATAGTTTGTATCTATCCCTTTCCTCGCCACTGGTGCATATATGATTACTTATTCTTTTGAATGTTTGTCATGTACCGGAACGCCAAACTTCAAAGGGATTCAGTTGAATGCACACACATCATTTTGATTACACAGGCGCGAAATATAAACGTGTATTGAAAAATATATATACAAAGTAAAATGCATGAAGGATGATACAGAAGTCACTATTTGATTGAGCGGACCAATCAAAAGGAACGAATTGGTTTCTTGATTTCTTCTTATATTTAATTAATTATTGTTTTGTAAGAACAATAATTTTATTTCTCGATGGAACCTATACATGTCTTGCTTTGCTGTCTTTGTTCAAAAATAATTACGAATAAGTATTGCTTAAGAAGAAAATGCACTCAAGAGGAACTTTAATAAGATAGAGCGATAGTCGATAGTTGTAATCATTAGTGACTCATGCTAAAAATAGTTGAAACCACCAATAGCTATCGCACTGCGATCCGATACTATCGATCACCGAACGATGAGTTTTTATTTTTTTTTACAAAAGCCATAAAGTAGTCCACTAACAAAAACTAGTTTCTATTGATTATTAAAATTATAAAGTACAATTAAACAAGTTCTTATCTAGCATCGACAAGTACTCGTACCCCCTTTTTTTTTAGAGCAATTCATCGACTTACCATCGGTTCGGCTTCAAAAGCAACGGTAACCTATCTTTTCTCTGTTAACAAAATTGACAATAAGTGCTGTATTTATTCTAGATCTAGCAAGAATCTAGTTCTCAAACACGAATAGACATCAGATTCGAAGTTGTTCCAATTCGACTAGAAAAATTCATTTATATCAAAAGCTGCATATTAAAATACTAAACAATTAAAATATCTTTTAATTTCTACAACTGTTAGTGTTGAAATAAACCAATAGTGAGTGACAAAGTAAGCCTATCCATTGTGGATTGAACTTAATGATTGAGTTATTCGCAACCACCTTTCCGAGTTTGCTCGAAATTCTGTAATCAGAACTGATCTGTATAGTGTTGTTATTAATAAACAATATTATTACAATGAAGTAATCATGAAAATCTGTGAAGTTTATGTTTGTTTTCGGAATATTCATCCTTTTAAGGATGTTTTCCGCGTAAGAAAAAACTAAAAATATTTTTTGTTGTTCTTTCTCTTATTGTCTCACATCCATCTAAGCAAATGTTTTTACTATCTGCGTCTTCTGCATTCAATTGCAATGGTTTTGTATGTAGATTATTTATTTTTTGCAGCGTTATTCGTGCAAATTGTCTAAAACTTATTGTCTTTTTGTTTTGTTTGTATCTTTCCTGAAAAAAAACTAGTTTTTATCTATCAGACTGCAATGAATCAGGAAAAAAAACATTATATTTAGCCTGTCCAATACCCTGATGTCTGTATAACGTTATTACGAATCTTATACATATTATTTGTAGTAATGTTTACGTGATTAATAAATTATTTCATTCAGTCAGTATATACAAAGAACACAATTTTATCGTGTAGATAACAAAGCTAGAAAAGACTTGCATCGTGCCATTGGATTTAAGTTGATTTTTCATTTGATCATAGGCGCAGTTTCAAATAGGTGCAAGTATTAAAAAATTTTGAGCGTGCAGCAGTGTTTGGAATAAATACTCTATTTCTACGCAATGAATCCAATTGACATTTTGAGCGAATTCGACCAACTTTTAGAATATATTTTGAATTCTATCTACTTTAGAATAGATAACATTTCCAACACTAAACCATACTTTTAAATTAATCTGATCAAAACTTACGTCATATATTGAATTTATCATCTATCGTAAGTCATAAACTAGCACTGTTATGAAGTCTATCTCAATGCATAAAATCAAACTGAATAAGTTGTTTATCTTTGTTTCATCATGATGATAACGTTTTCCAAAAATCAACTATCAACTTCAATCTCAAGCCATTTTGCCGTTTGCCATTTATTCAACTATCATTTGTTGGATAGACAAGAAAATTCTATCAAAAATTGAATAACATAAAAAGAAATCATTCTCAAAGATCGTTTTGTATGTTTGATAAATGTTCACTAGATTTCAGAGCTCATACTTTTATCTTGTGGGAAAAGGTTCAGTTCAAATCAATGAAAAACGAATGAGATATCGTCAAAATACCAAAGGTATCATTCTTTATGGCTCACCTGTTATAACACCCGAATCTAAACTTATTATAACAAACAGATTAAAATAAATGTTTTATAAGTTTAATGTTTAACAAAATCAGAGTCTTTTGCTAAACTTAATTTTTAAATTCACAGTAATAACTTAAGGTATTTACTGTTACCCATCATGCTTCAATTCACATAATAATAATAATAATAAAATTTCCCAAATGACTATTTTTCTATTCAGTCAAAGTTAGGGATGTAACAAAACCATTTGGAGATACGTAAAGATTGCCAATTTTCACAATGAAAATCTACCAATACCAACCAATACTTGGCGTTAGTGATAACTAGCGAAGTTAGCTCTACCTGATAGGAGTATATAAATGCCAATACCAACAGAAAAGATCCCCAGTATTGGTGAGTATTCGTGAAAATTACCGTTTTTTTTACCAATGCTCACCAATACTGGGAATCTTTTCTGTTGGTATTGGCATTTTATATACTCCTATCAGATAGGGCTAACGTCGATTTAGTTGGTTTCTTTTGCATAATTTTCGGAACAAACAAGTTAGAATAATGAGATTTTGATCGTTAGAAAGAGCATATGACGATCCATTGAATCTTGAAGGGCATGTTTTCGTAGTACATTTCTCTAATTTCTTTTTCGTCGACTCTTCTAAGTAATACAAATTAGTTGGTTATCGAAATAAGGTATTTGAAAATAACTTTTTCGTAGTAATTGCCAGAAAAATCACTTGAATCCTCGACTCGAACACCTAGAACTTCTTAATGAATATTTCTCAAGATTTGAGCCTTATGCAGCTTTGTAGACCTGCAATCCGTAGTTCCAATACACACACCCAAAGATAGGTTTCTTTTTAAAGCCGTTAATTAAAAATTCTAAAAAAAGTGCTTGTTGACAAAGATGTACGATTCGATACATCTTTATATCGTATTTCGAATGATTAAAACTATACATTTCTATCTCGTTTCTTTCGAGAATTATTCAAAACAGAATCAACCAAATTGCCATTTAAACATGTCTGTTACACATGAACAGAAAATCGACCTCATGAAAATTTCATTTCTATTATATTAATTAAAAAATGATTAAATATTCCTGAAAGACAGTATTTTTTAAGCTTAGTATACAGTACTGAAATATTATCGCTACTAGTTCTATTCACCTTTACCAATGTATTTCTTTATTCGTGAGTTTAATCGAAAGAAAATTTATTCATCCAACAATGTTTACAGCATATTTATTTTTAATAACGTTAATCACATCGCGATTCAAAAAATATAACGTTTCACAATACTATTCACTCACATTAACAGACAGTCCGATACTCCTCTTCTTCACCTTTGTATTGAACATAATTGCCACATGTTCGATGCCAAAAACAGTCACTATCAGAGCAACACTCTTGCCACATGGACCGTTTTCCAGCTACACCTGCTCTTTGAGTGTAACACCACCAGTCACCTGCTCGAACACGTGCTTCGCTAACATAAGCCCAACAGTAACCTTTGTAACAACCACACCGGCCACCATTACAGTCACCAGCAGCTGTCTCTTCTATGATAATGCCAAATATAATCGCCGAAATAACAATGAGATTCAATTTCAGCATGATAGTTGATAGCTGCTATGTCTACAATGAAACTATTAGTTGTTGTTTTTTTTCTTATTCACACAGCAGTGAACATCTTCTAGAATTTTTGCAACAGAATCGACTCTCGCAAACCATGTATTAACAAAAATATCTTGGTGGCCGTTAAACAAATTCAAGATTTGAATTTTATCGATTAAAAGCTACGAACTTTTCTATTAGGTATTAGTATTCTGACAATAGACTTTGATGGATACAAACAAGTTTCACTAGATGGCCCGTTTTAAAAATTGATTCTTTTTCTCTCTTTTTTTGTTCAAGTAATGATTCTAGCGCACCTATTCTATCATGAACTAAACACACAAATCACCTCAATATATGATATATTTTTATGTAAATAAGAAAAATAAATAATGCAACTTACTATCGTGTTTTAAATATTAATGATATTTGTTGTAAATACGTTTTGTAAAAATGCACGAAACCGCAGTGTGAATGATAAATTTATATGCTGGAATGAACAGGAATAAAACAAAGAAGAAATGAAAGGCGAATCAAACTGTGTGAATTATTCAATGATCAATTAGTCTAGTCGCCATCTGTTAACATTCAGATGTCTATTCAATCAGTCATGATAGTTTTTTCTCGTGTTTCTGTTATTGTTTATTCATATTATCTGTCGAACAATAAATAGCATATATTTGTTTCGGTTATAAATCAGGAATTGTATTTCACATTTAGTGATTGTTCGATAGAAAACAAGTCATCTGTTTTGATCCCTTATTTCGTTCTTTGTACTTTTGTATTGCCTTGTCATCGATTTTTTGTGTTGAATAATACTATAAATATTATTTACAACAGTGAATGAAAATATACTGTATCTTCTTATTTCTACGGTTAAATGAAGCGTTTGTAAGTTGTTCGAAGAAAAGTTTATTGATAAATATTCGTAAAATAAACATGTAAACAATTTCACATTCAAAATAGATTCTAAACTTAATTTCACTCGAACATTTGAAATACGCACAACGATAATATATTTATTTTATTTGTTCAGAATATTTATCTTACACGTTTAAGTTTTAATTAGCTACAATTGATCAGCAAAATGATGCACGTATTAAGTTCTTTAAAAACAAAACAGAAAATGCAAACCCTTGTGTAGTTTTGTTGGATCTTAATTGACGGGTTAAATGAGAAAAATAGATAGAATTTATTTTTCGTCAATGAACTAATATTGATTGTGGAACTAATTTGTCTCCGAATATTTATTTGTTTTAAGAATGATTATTTTTCTTTATTGTGTTGTATTCAGACAACTGAATGAAAATGAAGCCGTAAAATTGAACGATGAAAAAAACAATACATACGAAGATATGGATACGTAGATATATTTTCACAGGTTCGTCAAATGCGAAAAAAGTTGTTACAAAGATATATTTTTTTATGTTATTCATGTCAGATTTGCACAACAGACAAGATGATACAATGAAAAGTTCTCATATGGAACACAATGCTGTGAAGAATATATGAGAATTATTTATTTCGAAGAAAATTACACCTGCACACAAAGAAAATTTATTGTGTACCGGTTTATTACTAAGTTTTTCGAATTAAAAATTTCATTCTTCAATTTTTATAATTGATTATACTCACGAAGAAGAATTATGATTTGCTATTATGAAAAGTTAACAAAATATATTTCTAGAACATTACTTTGGCACACATATTAAGTAGTCATAGATTAGGTACATGAAGGATATAATTTCGTATTGAGCTATGAATATTTGAATAACAAATATGATAAAATAGCTATGTACGAAGTATAGATGTTGCAGAAAATTTTCTCTTCAAGACAAAAATGATATGACAGAACTCATAAAGAAATTTCTGAATATTTACAATCTTTTTTTTTTGTAGTGTTGTGATGCATGACTTAATCTTATATTTTAATAAAATTGAATGTAAATTAATAAACTTAAAAAGGACTACATAGATATACAAGAAATTGATCTGACGTTCTAATAGTTGTCTCGGTTCCTTTGAAGAAAAAAGATACATTCAAAACAATTCATATACTTTCTGTATTTTCTACACGATATCTTAAATTTATAATCGAGGAATAAAATATCGATCATTTAGAAAAGAATGATTAATGCTAATGAGAAGAAAAAAAATTGAAATATTCTATAGCGAATGTTTGACATAACAAATTGAATGACGTCTTCTAGCTCCTACCGTGTGCGCGATTTACCATCCGAGGATTTACCACCGGAGGATTTACTGTCCGTGGATTAGAGAAATTTTATTCCAATTAACGTTATTTTTATGCGAGGATTTACTGTCCGTTGATTGTTTCGAAGATGAGAAATGAACAAATGAGT